AACAAGCACAAATGCATAGTGCTGCATCTAGGGAGAAGGAATCACCAGCACACTTACAGGCTGGGGGATGACCCTCTTCACAGCACTGTAGCAGAAAGAGACCTCGGTGTCATAAGAAGGATGGTACGTCCACAGGTGACCTTTAGCTTCCTATGTAGTTGACAGACAGAAAATACCTATCTCTTTCTCAGAGACTGCAATTTAAAACTTGCCCCTTTTCCTGTTTAAGATAGGATTTTCTTACTAAAAACAATGCTTAAATTTGGTACATTTTTGGCAAGCGGAAGGAAGAATTAAAGAGTAAATATCTCTTTAAAAGATTACCATTCTATTCTGTAGAAGTACTTTGAATACAGGCAGACAGCTTTAATTATTTACTTCATCTGCCCCCACTAAAAATATAAACTGCCTCTTTTAGATGAGGTGTAAAACTAAGGCCCATTTGTGGTCATTAAAGAACCTATTGCACTTTCCATCAAAGTAATTACATTCTACCTATTTAAAATTCTCTCTAGTTTCCATTGGAGAATATATTCATCATTTTCTGACCTAAACTGCTGTGTAGTGTTGCAGTGTATAATTTAAAAGCTGATGGGTTTCACCTAATAAACAACTACATTGCAGATGTGAAGTGTCTCCCCTGCACACCAGATACAGGAATACTGGCTGTAGAAGAATATACACAAGACTTCTTGAATAATACTGAATTTGTGAAGGTATCACTGGACATAAAGTTTGACCAAGAGGTCATAAATTAATTGTCCTAGTCGATTAAAGGCACCACGCATCCTCCTCAATAGTAATAAACAACCTGTTAACACGAAAGACAGGTGTCAAATAGGGGACCATGAAACGGGCCATATTCGATTCGGATTCAGCCCGAATCATGGACAGTGATTTGATTCGTTGATTCGGATCACTGTCCCCAATTGAATTCATCCAATTCCAAATCTGAAGATTCAATGCTGATTCAGGCAAATCGGCCATAGACACAGCTTTAAAAGTTTTTTCTACTTACCTCAACGTATCGGGTGCAGCTTGCGAATGGATGGCACATCCCACAGGAGCGTGAGGGGGGGGGCCCCCACATGCTAGGCAATGAACCTGGAAGTAGACTCGAAGTACTATCGGGCTGCTTCTGGGTCTGCCAGGGAGCATGCTGAGGGGCCCCCCCACCCCTCTCAGCTCAGCAATTGGCCACGGGGGGACCCCAGGTGCCACCCCCAGCCCCAGGAGGCACCAGTCACCAAGCCAGGGGTGGAGGCTCTACAGCAGACCTGGAAGCGGACCAGAAGTGCTTCTGGTCCACTTCTGGGTCTGCTGAGCATGCTGATAGCCCTCTGCGCTCCTGTGGGATGCTCCACGTGCCCCAGCATCACAGCATTCGTGAGCCCCTGCTACCTAGAGGTATGTAGAAAAAATGTTTAAAGCTGTCTCTATGTCCGAATCTCTCCAAATCCATTTGGAGGGTTCTGATTCGACTCTGAGAGATTAAAGGGTCCTCTCATTCAATTCGGATTCAGAGATTCAGCCACCAAATCGAGCTGAATCTCCACTGAATTGAATCAAGGACCAAAGCTTCACACAGCCCTAGTGACAAAGTGGATTGAGAAGACGACTCAATACTGGGTGTTTAAATTACTGCTAATAATGCCTCCATAGTTCGCGATATGTTATTCCCCAATATGAAAACAGTTTACACCTGGTCTTTGTGTCCTGGAGAACTGTGATCCAGCTGTTTTGTCCAACTAATCCAAATTACATCAATGAGCTGCATTATTTTAGCAGTTAATAAGGGGATATACAATGAACTCAGATTAGAAGGCCTTGTTCTAGCAGCTCTGAGTTTATGCAGCTTTCTCTTATTTGAACGGTACTCCAAAAGTTAATTCTGTATCCAAAAAAAGTATTTCCTTTTGGCAAATACTATCATACTAGAAATTTGTGCACTGTACAACCTGTATGTTTAGTGGACTAGGCATGGAATAAGGAAAAGGTCTGGTTTGCACCTCTAGGTCTTTGCATTCTCTCCTCACCATACATAAAACTACTTTAACAGAGATGAGGCAAGGATTATTTTAGTTTGTTGCTAATATTTGAAGATGTATGGTAGTAAGCATCGTTAGTTCCAACATCACAAGAACCAAGTGTCAATTTGTTCCTATGATCATCTTTCACCTGCTTTTATACTGGGTTTAGCATTTTAAAAACTTTTCTGCTTCAATATTTTGTTGAAGCATCCCTGCTGAAATTCCACCAGATGCATGTTCACCCATACTTACTTGTTAATCTGAGCTAGGAACATTCCTTTCAGTGCATAGAACTCAGCAGTCATCTCCTTGGTGAAATACTTCAGATTAGTTGATTCAATGACCTCAAGGCCCTGTTAAATACATGTTTGTGAAAAAAGTTTGTAATATTAATTTTGTATCAATATAGGAAAACACTTTCATTAAAAAAAGAGCCAAAATAAAAATTTACTTGCAACTGAAACAAACCACTAATCAATATTTTTAAAAAGAATTTCCTATTTTGATTTTTTTCCTAAAATCTAAGATGATAGTGATTTTTTTTTAAATCTCCATTTTCCCCTTACGAAATTCTTTCCAGAAGGACTATAACTTGCATTTGCCAGGTGATAGATTCACTTCTCTACTTTAACTTCACTAACCCTATACTCAATCTCAGCTTTTTTTTTTTTTTTTTACCTATAGTCACATCCCATTTTTCCTTTCCATTTAACTTGCTCAGTTTCACTTTTTGTACGTCAACATTCATCAAATATGCAGTAGGTCACTTAAAACTTTGGTTTAAGTCCTCACTTAGTCTTAGGACAGACAGTCTTTTCTCTGTTAGTCTTTTCTCCTTTTCTCCATACAGTATGCCTTTAATGCACCTTTCATTTATATGTCTCTATATCTATACAGAAATATAAAATAGTTCTTGCTCTCTCAGTAGATATCTATTTTAATACAGATTTTAGAAAATTTGCATGTTTTTTACTATGCTGATTGATTCTTTTGCATTATATTTTTCTGTTCATTTCATTAACTAACTGTATTTAATTTTGTTACTTCAAATCACTGTCTTTATGCGTTCATACATTAGTCCCTTGATTATAATCAAGTTTTGACATAACTGGATGGCCTACTTCAGCCCTTGGTCTCCACCTGACAAACCTATTATGATCAACATGAACTGAATTCATTTAGGAGTCCCAAGCAGCATGCCTTAACGCATATCTGACTCGCATACCTGCATGCACTCATTTTTGCCCATGACTCCCGCCAGCTGAAGGTAGCATTTAACTTGCTGTCGAATCTTCTGAAAACAATCCACAATAGGTACAGTAGGAATAGTATGAATACGACTTAATATGTCCAGTGCCACATTGACCAGTCCTTGTTTTCGGGCTATCTTTCCATATTGGATAATTGCTGAAGCTGAAGCATGAACTCCCAACATTGCATTGTTGGAACTGGGATCGTGCTGAGAGCTATTCTCATAGGCTGTCACAATGGCTGGAGATGCAAAGAAAGTAAAAAGTTAAAGATCAGAAAACAAACTACATAAAGCAAAATTTTACAAGTTATTAATGACATATGAACATATGGCTTATGAAAGTGGAATATTAAGATACGTTTTTCAAGCTGAAGTTTAAGCATGGAAAATAAGAAACCTTCAAAATGAAGTTCTATTTCAAAATCTTCATTTAACGAACAAAATCAACTAGACTCAAAGTGCTTAAAACTAGAGAAAGGAGACATTTAAGAAAATAAGTCTTTTAAACAGTGTGTTGATTGGAAAATTACATGATGAATGCATGCTGGACCAGGCAGTTTTACCCTGGTAATGATGCTGCCTCCACATGAAAATGCTGCTCCAGTGTGATAAGTCATCTGATACAATGGGTAACCTGTTCCTCCAAGTCTTTACAACAGTTTTCATATCATGTAAACTGTTGTTCCTCCCAAGATTAGTTGGTTGTAGTCCTGCATTTATTTGAGCTGCTTCTTGAAGCTCTATGATTTGCTGGGCTGCCTAAAGGGATTTAAAGAATATAAATTACAATAGAAGCAAATCTTGCCCACTAATTAGAGAAGTCCATTTTAAGATTGCAGCGCTACACAAACGTAATCAGCTGGTGACATCATTTTGTCTGATGAAAATCGCCATCAACACTTTGACCCTTAAGTCACCTAGAACAACAACTGAGCTATGTATATTGTTAGTTTTGCAGAACTGACTATTGATAGGGTATCAGGTGACCTCAGGACTTTCAAGTAAGACAGCCAGTCAGTCTATATAATTCAACACTAAGCCAAAAATAAAGTAAAGTAAAAAATCAATATTTTGACCTTAAGAAGTTAGTAAATGGGAAAAAAAAAATCACTGACACACTGACCTAACAGCATGACTAAGGCATGCACTCTGGCTGAAAATCCCATGCTTTTAAACGGTTACCTACACATTCAGGTTCAAAATTTCAGTATGGTAATTTTAATCTCTCACCTTCTCTAAACAGGCAAATGAGTACCAGAGTGATGTGGCTGGCCATGTTAGTCTGAAGCGAGGCAGAAAGCAGGGTAGATGCGCACCTTAGAGGACAAACTAAGAGATATATAGCAAATATTTTTGTGAGCCCAAGCTCACTTCATCAGATGCTGTGAAAGGACATGCACAAAGCAGTGTATAAAAGATAGCGTGTGATTAGAATACAAAACATGGGAAGGGAGCAGGGGAGTGGTGACGAGGCAGTGCTGTGGGAGGCAAACAAGCAATAAACCCATAGGAACAAGGGACCACAAAAGTTAATCCAGGTAATGGGATAAGAATGAATTTCCTCTGTGGTCTCCTCTTTGATGAGACTTTAAGCACTGTCATCTTTTATGCACCCAGTATACCTTACCAACTCTAGCCATTGTTTCCCATTAGTAGTACAGGTTTGTTTCTGTATACTTGTAAGAAAAAAAATTCAGCCCCCAATCAAACACTGAGCAGCTATACTAGGGTTTACCTCTAAAGGAAACAACTACATAACTTTCCACATATACAGTCAAATCCCTGTTATCTGGCATGAGTGGGGAATGCCAGGTACCAGTTATCTAAAAATTGTGGTTCTCTGAGGCAGATAACGTGGTGTAGTGGGGTGGCGGCAGTGCAGCAACGGCGCAGGGTGGTGGGGGACAGCAGTGGCTGCTATGCACGAGCTTTCCCTGCCCCCCAGCCAGAAATTCCAGTTAATAAAGTATCCCAGTTTGTAGAATGCTGGATAACAGGGATTTTACTGTACTGGATTGGGCTACAAACACCTTCCTATAAGCTTGCAGTAAATGTCAGACTTTTCTCTCTCTTAAACCTTTTTATTCATGAAAACCAGGAGAGGTGTGAATCTGTAATTACTCACAGTTCTTGCATGTTTTATTTTGCACTCATGTTTTTTTCACATCCCTAATCCAAGTGACATGATTCAGATTAAGAAAACGATTTTCATACCTATTTAGTTTTCTCAAATAAACTAAAAGGAACAAACAGAAGATGGCAGCAGTCTCACACCTATTAGAAGTAGCAGACATTTTGTTGAACTTCAACAATCTATAGAAGAGAATCACAAACTTTTATTGGAATTTAATTATCTAGAGTACAATAAAACTGATGTACTGTTCTCTAAACTAATTCTCAACAGATACCAGTTGTATTCACTGTTAATCAACCAAATAAGATAACTTTCCAAAAAAAAACCCTGAAAAAAACCTCCACCCCTCAGTCCACAGTTACAAAGTCAAATCTCTTGAAACAAAATAAATTAAGCAAAGTAATATTTTCCTACAATCATCTCAGTATCAGCTCACACAATAGCTTAACCTTCATTCTACTCCCATTCATCATGTAAATTTAATTTTCTTGCAGGTATTTAATCATGCACTATCTGATATAAAAAAGTAATTACTGCAGTGCAAATTCACTGTTGGGTTTGTGCCTTTGTCATTCATTGTCTATTTTATCACTTCTACACGGGATATATACATATAGGTAAGACTATTATAGTTTCATAGTTTCTAGGGTCGGAAGGGACCTGAGCAGATCATCTAGTCCGACCCCCTGCCATGGCAGGAAAGAGCACTGGGGTAAAACGACCCCAGTAAGGTGGTCATCCAACCTCCTCTTAAAAACCCCCAGGGTGGGAGCCTGCACCACCTCACTTGGAAGCTGGTTCCAGACTCTAGCCACCCTGACCGTGAAGTAGCGCCTCCTGATGTCCAACTTAAACCTTCCCTCCGCCAGCTTGTGACCGTTGTTCCTGGTCACTCCTTGCGGCGCTCGGGGGAACAGGGACTCCCCCAGCGCCTGCTGATCCCCCCTAACCAGTTTATAACAGGCCACAAGATCC